CATCATCGTGAAAAAGCCCACCAGGTAGGAAATGGATTTCCGAATCCATTTAGGGGACCGAATGGAAAAAAGTTGAGATTTGGAAGACCTAAACGAACATTTTCATTATATTCAAATTACTATCTAACAAGCATTGGGCAGAATCAAAAGTATTTTCGTGAGGTCTACATAAGTATCTGTGAAATGCGGACGTGAATCGCTTACCACTTCACAAGTACACATTAAAAGCCGTAAACCATTGGGCTGGTTTCCTTTCGAAATCGGCTGTCATAAACTTCACAAGTTTTCAGTGAAATTAACCATAGGTTCTGATAGGTTTTGCAGTTCGAGGCAAAAGAATCGCTATGTTCATTTTTTGTCGACTAACTTCAAGACCATTATTCAGTGTTTAAGATGTGAGCTTGATGAATTCAAAAACTCATACCGAATTGTTGGCTAATACCTTGCGGTACTGCTGGAGTTGTTGTTGGAATTTCTACTCGTAATTGTGGAGCGATGAAATTCGCTGAACCTGGACCGGCATATTTCTGAAAATCGCTAGGTTACTTGTCAGTTCCATGATCTGATATAGTGATCAATGTGCGATTTGATCAAGAAGCAACTGCTACCTCTCCTTTTGGTGTTCTAATGTTCTCATACTGAATGTCTGTATCATCGAAAGCATCACGAGTGCCTTCAGATCGCGTAGCTTTTCGCCGTAGTTGCCGTTGCATCTGCTGTAAGATGAAGGTTGTTCATACGGGATTTTCATTTCCTATTGCAGCAAGATCATCATGGTGGACGCGCAAAAGCGACCGTCCATTGTAAGCCGTCAAGTGCGCTTATCTCTTTGCAACAAAAAGCATTCACTCACCTTTTGCGTTTCAATTGCAAAATCGTAGTCTTCAATTTCACGAAGATATGCCTCAGTTTCTGGATCACGAGGCAGTACCGGTAAAGGTCTGAACTGATTCGATAATATTGGTTTTGCCGTTGGAATGTGCAAATTCTGGAGCTGAGACTGTTGCTGGGAGATGAGACGCTGACTAGCAAATGAAGGGTTCTGGGTTTTTGCTGCCGATTGAACCTGAAGAAGGAAACTAACCAAATAACGTCAATCATTTGATTATCATTTAGCAGGCATTTTGTGAGTGTGTCAACAATTAGTCAGTTCGATGTGTTTTTAGTCATAATTGATTTTGAGCTCTAATGATGAGAATTTATTTTGTCAACGTTGTTTGAAGGGAAAATTGATCTCGTCGGACTGATAAATCCGTGAACTGCAGCAAACACAAACGACCTACTTGTGTGGTTACCACAGGTTGCACTGTTCTGGCTTGGAATTGACGTGCAGGAGCTTTCACCCCAAAGTTCACCTGTTTTTTCGCCCCAAAGTTCACCCGTTTTTGTTGTTGAAGATTCATCTGAATTTCGACAGATCAACGTATCAACAAGCAGATATATTCTCGTTACAGTTAGAAAGCGCTGTATTGTGCACGCACATAACTCATCATGGAGATCTCCAGCTCATAGCAGCTATACCAACAGAAGCGTTTCTTGCTTCCCACAGTCCGATGATGGCATAAAATGACGGAACGTTAGAAAGAAACTGAGGCATCCTCCGAAGGCAGCGCAAAGCTAGTTGTCCTTGTCAATCATTATCATCCAGAGGTCAGCTTTATCTTATCTACACCATCCAGTGCACTCATAATTCGCTGGCAAATTGTGATCTTCTATGATAACTGAATCGAATTTGCCTTGAACTTTTAGTACAGCTTACATGATTTTGGGTTTCATTTCATCGTATTCTGTGAAAAAAAAAACACAGCAAAATGAACATACTCACCTTCGCAGGGTTTTGTGGACGTATCTGACGGTGAGTATTTTGATGCTGTTGAGGTAAATGCGGTCGTGCGATTGGTCTAGCATTTGCAGGCGCTGCTGGAGGTGGAGGTGGAGGTGAATTTGCAACAGGCAATTTAGCGGACTGATACTTAAGAATGGTTTTCAGTCGCATCAGTTTCCGAAGACGACGTTTTTCAGGATCAACTGGACGGGTGTGCTTTCTTGAATGAGACTTTCGCTTCAGTGAATTCAATGGTAAACTTTTGGGCACCTTCATGTGACGTTTCAACGCTTCACGGATTCGCTTTAGTTCCATTGCATTCTTGCGTGCTTTTGACAGTTGTCTACGGTACGCTGGTACATTCAAGCCTGTAAAGCTCAGGGAATATGTCTGGCTGATTCGTTAGGCTGAATTCCTCAATTGTAAACTGGATTGTATTCGATTAAGTTAACTTGAGTGAAACTTATATGGCTTGATTTAAGTCAGTAATGTGCCGTTATAGGTTCAATTGTGTTAGGACAAGTGAATAAAATGAAAATTACTCATCAAAATACTCCGGAGAATGTAGTACATACGCTTCATAAGTTGTTGCCCATGCTTATTTGTTTGCTTTGGTCCACCATTGTCACCGTCGTGACGATTTCGATTTATTATAGGCTGAGAAGGCGTTAAAATGCGTTGTTTAGACGACGATGTCGTTGGCGTTCGTTCCGAGAGGGGACGTTTCCG